TATATATATATATATATATATATATATATATTTATATTTACTTTACAAACCATCTTATTTGTATAAATCGTACAACAATCAATCATAATTTTTTATTTTTTCATAATTATAAGAGCTTAATTAATCATTCTTATTGTGGAGTGTGTTAATCATGAATATTATCATATTCATTATATTATTTTTTAAAAAATACATGAAACAATTTTATTAAAATTTCATAATTATATATGAAACAACTTCATCAAGAAAAATATTATATGAAACAATTTCATAATATTAAACAATTTCATAAAACAAATCATTAAATTAAACAATAAATTCGACAAATAAGGGTGGTTTGCACAGTTTGTACAAATATGAGTGGTTTAAATGGTTTATATATATATATATATATATATATATATATATATATGGGGGCTTAATCAAATGAGAACTAATTAGTTTATGGTAATCATGAGATCCAATCTCAACCACAAATCAATAGATAAATTAAAATTTATAATTTTGAATTAAAATTTTAATACAAAGACATTTTAGGTATTTTAAAACTCTCTTCTCTCCTCTCTTCTCTCTCCATCCCCCGTCCTCCGGCTACCGTCCTCCGGTGATACCACAATGATATCACAATGCATAATATATGTGCTTGGGTATCACACTGAGGTCGTTTATGTGGTCGATTGGAGATGTAACACAATGGTATCATAATGCATCTTATATATGCTTGGGTACCACAACGTGTCTTTTATTTAGCATAGTCAATATTTTTAGGTATCACAGTGGTATCACCGAAGGACAGAGAGAAAAGAAAGGAGAGAGGAGAGAAAATATCTAAAATATCCTTGCATTAAAGTTTTAATTCAAAATTACCAAAATTATAAATTTTCTAATTTATCTATTGATTTATGATTGAGATTGGATCTAACGGTTACCACAAACTAGTCAGTTCTTCCTTGAATGAGCCCATATATATCTATATATATATATATATATATATATATATATATA